GAAGAGAAGAGAAGAGAAGAGAAGAGGAAGAGAAGAGGAAGAGAAAAGAAAAGAAAAGAAGGAAAGAGCAAAGAAGAGGGCCAAAGCTGGGTGTAGGAGGAGGTGGTAAAGCGATGAAAAGCGTTCATTTGCTTGGCTTCTTTCGGCTGTGGGCAACCGCGAGGATGGGCTGGTGCTATGCCTTGGCGGCCGACGGGTCTCCGTCGAGCTCGCGCGACTCCGAGAGGGTGGCGCGGATGAGTCTGGAGGTCGCCTTCCAGACGTCGCTGCAGACCTCTTTCGATTCGGCCAACTTGCTGGGCGGAGTGTAGGCACAGTCCGAGTAGTAGGCCCCGGGCACCAGGTCGCTGGCCAGGGCGCAGTACAGCGTCGTCTGGGCGCCCTCCCAGGCCGTCTTGAGGAAGGGACGAGCCAGCCAACTGGAGGCGAGCTGTGCCCGCGGGTGCGTGTGTCACAGCGTGTTCGTGTGTCCGTTTCAATGTATGTATGTGTATGCGTTTGGGTGTATTGGGGTGTATGCATTTGTGTGTGCATATATTTGCATGCATTTGTGTGTGTGCATGTGTGCCTATTGGTGTGTATGCATTTGTGTATAGGTGTGTGTGTGTGTGTGTATGCATGTGTCAGGTTGTGTGGATGGGAAAGAGAGAGGGGAGAGGTTAACGGAGGCCAGGCTGGTGAGCCCCTTGACCCAATGGCGGCCAGAGGCCCGGCTCAAGTGAAATGGGCAAGCGAGAGGGAGAACTCTCCTCAAGAAGAAGATGCCCTGCCTGAAGAGCTATCCGTCGGGCCAAACAACTGGACCGTCTCGACAGAGGCACAGAGACACGTGGCCAAATGCTCGGCTTCAAGGCCCTACATTTTGGTTGAGATGACATGTCAGACGTCCACATTGAAGGTGCTCGGAAGAGTCGGCATACCCTCCAGCCTGACGCAAACAGTAAAGCGGGACTGTTGCTGTACGCTCATTGGATTTGCAAGTAGGCTTTGCTGAAACCGGAGGAGTGTGGCTGTGGGTTTGGGCGGAGACATTTTCAAGACTCCGTTCTACTAATCGGATGTATCCTTGCTGAGATTTCATCTCCACTGCCGTGATAAACTTCATGAGGGCCGAAAAGTGGAATTCATTAAAAGTCAACAATAAATCAAACCAGTAAAACATTAACTTCCGCGGGCGCATTGGTAATTATTTTCCTGAATGGCAGCTGTCAATATGGATATAAGTTTTGATGAAGTAATTGTTCCAAAGAAATCGTATGACTTGAATAAAGTTTCTAGATATTTGCACCAAAA